AAAAAAAGAGAGGATGAAAGCAGGTCAACAGAAGCCACCTGGAAGGTAGGACTGAGGGTCATTTCTGTTCTTTTAAAAAAATATTTGAACAAATTAATCAATTTAAAGAACAATTAATAAAACTATAAAAGACGGTGAGCAGAGGACAGAGTCGGTGTCGAAGATGCTCATAAACTAAAACTCAGCAGACCACGAAGGCCACATAGACCAGTGGCGTCTGCCAGCCCAGGGTCCCTGACGCCACCTGCACCCGCACTGTCCTCGGAGACCCCGAGGCCCCGCGGCGCCTGCTCCCCACGCTGCTGGCCTGTGCTGCTGCGGTGCATTTCCCTGACGCCCTCCACGAGGCTCCTCCTCCCTCCCTCCCAGCCCAGCCCCAGACCCCATGGGAGCCTAGAGGCTGAGCCAGCGCATCAGGGAGGGCCCAGGAGGGGGGGGAGGAAGGCGGGAGCAGCGCCCTCTGCGGAGAGGGGAGCAGGAGCAAAGGAGGCAGCCCTTGGGGCCCAGAGGGGCAAACGGGCTGGGTGATGTGGGGCGGGGCGAGGGAGAAGCCACGACCTGGAGGGCACACGGGGCCCAGCCTCAGGCATCCTGGAGGTGATGGGCAGGGCGCTGACAGGCCCCAAGGGTCCCCTGGCCCTTGCCCTCCAAGCCCCTCCTCTCCAGCTGCCCAGGAGGTGGGGTCAGTGGAGCTCGCCTAGCAGAGAAGCGTCCCTCCCTCTTGAACTTCGCTTGCTCTGATTCAAGGCCAAAAGCACAAAGTGGGTCTGGCCATGTGCCGTGACGTGGGGAGGAGCCCGTGTGGCACGTGGTATGGCAGCCCTGCCTCGGCACCCCGTCATGTCCCCGACCTTCTGCGGACGCAGCTCCAGCGGCGCCTCTCGGGCTCACAGGCAGCAGGAGGCCCCTCCATCCAGCAGGACTATTGGAAATGCTTCACCGTGGGACGTGGGGGCCTCCAGGGCACGGGGGAGGGGAGGGCACAGGGAGGGCCCGCTGTGCCCCGCTGGGTAGCCCTCTAGTTGCTGCGGCCAGCTCTGCTCCTGGGAGACCTGGCCGTGACTCCTGGCTGACACAGGGAACGGCAGAAGAGCTGCCAGCTCGTGCCCAGCACGGCCATGACTCACACTGGCCCCTCACAGGGGGCGGCCACTTACTCGAACAGCACCACGGCGAAGGACTGCACCAGCCGGTAGAAGGTCGGCTCCGACACGCACTTGGAGTTGCAGCGCTGTGCGGAGGGGGCAGGCGGTCAGGGGCTGGCTACCCGGGCAGTCCGGCCACACTGTCCAATCGCAGCCGCCCTCCCCGCTGCCAGGACCCTGTAGGGTGTGGCCCACAGAGCCTGGCCCACAGGGTGCAGGGGGCCCTCCTGCCTCTGCCCAGGGGCTGAAGGCAACTCCCCACGGTCACACCCAGGCGGGAAACACCGAGGGACAAGCCCCAGATGGCAGCACTAGCTGGGTCTGGATTTGTGGGTGATTAGGTTCTTTTGCATTTCCTGATTTTTTTTTAAATGAAGAATGCCTTATTTGTGATAAAAATACTTAGAAGAAACGAAAAATCAACCTATTGGAGACTTAATAAATTTGGTTCTTTTCTGAGCTTTGTGAAGACCGTTATCTTTACCTGGCTTCACCGTCTTGGATAGATTCTCTTTGGCAAACTGAGCACCGTGGGTTATTCAGTAGAAAGAGACGCATGCCCAGAGTCCTCGCGCTCGCCTTTACAAGAACGTTCTCCACCTCGCGGCGTGAGTTTCTCCCTCTCCCCCAGGGCGGGCGACACACGCGCCCTGGCCATTCCCACTGCCCCACATGGCCCTTCTCATGACATGTTCCGTGGGGGCCATTCCCTCCCCTCTTCCCCAGAGTGCAGCCCAGTGTGCCCTGCCCTTCCCTGGGCGGGTCCCCAGTCCCCAGCTCACCTGGGCGCTCACGTATCGAGCAAACCACTCTCGGCCTTTCCCATCCTGGCTGCTGCAGTACTCCCCAAACTTGGCCTTCTCCTCCTGGTCCAAGTCCTCCCTGAAGAGAAGGCAGAGTGACACAACGTCAGTGCTCTGGGGCAGAATTCACAGGAGGGAAGAGCAGGGAGCCGTGGGCCGGCCTCCGACCGGGGCCTCCCCTCCTGCACCCTGGGGAGGCCTAGCTGAGAAGCCACCTGGCCAGGTCTCCTGGTTCCACAGCCCCTTCTGTCCCCTGCCTCCGGCTTAGCCCCAGTAAGGTCTGAGCCCCGTGAGGACAGGGCCCTGAGAGCTCTCGGTTCTTTGGGGGGCAGCCAGTACTCTTCCTCAGATTGAAAGACTCGAAAATGAAGATGAAGGCGGGAGGTGGGTGGGTCATGTGACGGGCGTTTATTTAGGGGTCTGTAGAAAACATCTTGGTCTCGTTGACCCCCAGTTACCAGATGAAACAGGGATCCACCTGCTGCTATCTGCCGTGACCTGGGCAATGCTCCTGAAGACGCACGTGACCGGCTGAGGGACGGGGTCCACGTGCCGACGAGCTGCTGCAGACATAGACTGGCCTCCCTGGCAAGTGGACCTCGGGGCTGGCTCCCTTTTCTAGGTGTGTGCAGAGGAGGCCGGTTTCAGTGTCGTCAGACAAACTAAGTGGGGAGCCACAGCACGGTGCTCCCAGGAACACAGACGCATTTCTAGATAGTTAGACGTTGGATGATCGCATGACTCTTTCCTTCTCAAAGCCCAGAGGACGCTGAGGCTGGCCTGCAGGTGAAGGGTCACCTGGTCCTCCCTGCCGCTCAGGAGGCTGGAGCCTGGTAGCATGGTAGCAAACCTGGCTCTCGGAGTGTCACCAGGCCCCGGTTCTCACTGCTGCTGCTGAGCCGGGACAAGGGTCCCTCAGGGGGGCACTGTCACACTCCCGTGTGTGGGCGACTCATCCCCAGACCTTGTTGGAAGGCAGCTCTCGCTCAGAGGGGCTGGGGGCCAAGACGGCACCTGTGCCAGCCCAGACGCTGTGGTGCGGCTGGTCCACAGGCCCCCACCCAGCAGGGTTTGGGGTGCTGCTCTGAATGCTGAAAATCAACCTCCACCGCCCGGAACCGGCAGGACGGGGGCTCCCTGCCTGGCTGAGGCACTAAGCGCCAGGAGAGGGCAGAGCTGGGGGCCCTCCAGAGCCTGGCGCTCCTGCTGCCGCGCCCTCAGCTCGCTCCTCCAACAGAGGCGCCCAGAGGGAGCCTGCACAGCAGCTGCTCAGGAGTCGGCCACCCCTGCGCTCCCCAGGAGGCAGAATAAGACGCCGTATTGGACACTTGCCGCCCGTGCCTCCCTGAGTGGTCCCAGCAAGCAACGCAGCCGCCTGCCAACCACGGCCCCGAGGAGACCGTCAACAGGAAGGGCCTTGGAACCACTCAGCACCAGGCTCCACGGCTCCCCGTGGACAGAGTGGACAGGCAGGGTTGGCAGAACGGGAAGTGGTGACCCCCCAGAGCCAGCCCCTCCCCAAACCTGACTTGGGAAGCACAGAGAAAACTCTGGAACGAGAGGACCAGCAATTGGCAGAGCACATCGGGAAGACAGAGGACCCGTGCAGTTTCCTGCCGTCTGACCGGCCACAGGGGTGCCGCCCACACAATAAGAGGCCACTGAAGGTAGCACGGACAGTCCTGTCCTGCCTGGAATGCCCACAGCCGTGTTCACAAGGTGGGAGGTGAGGATGGACGGTCCACTACAGCTCTGCCCGGTGCTGACAGGACTGGATGAGCAGGGGCCAGGGGCTGGACAGGGAGGGGACGGGGCTGGATGGGGCTGGAATGGCTGCCCTTGGGCCCTCCAGCATCTCCCAGGGCCCGGCACGTGGTGGGCTGGCCCTGGCGGCTGGTGGGACTATTTCAGGGTGGGGCCTGGGCTTGGGTGTCCCTGAGAGGCTCCCTCATGACCTGAACGCAGCCCCGGGGGACTGAGCACCACTGCACCAGCCCCACGTGGTCCCTGGGAGGAGGCCGAGCCTAGAGCAGAAGGCACGTCCCCGAGCCTGGTGGCAGGGCCAGGCTGACCGTGGCGGCCTACCCTCCTGAGAAGACCTTCTCCACGTAGCCACGCATGAACTCCCGCAGAGCCAGGGCGTCCTCGTCCTGGGCCGACTCGGCGCTCTGGCCGGAGGAGAAGGACTCGTTGGAGGAGGAGCGGCGGTCCTGGTCCCAGGACGGGTGTGAGGGCGACTCGCCCACGTCGTTCTCGCTGTCCGCGGACTCGGTGGCCTCGCTCTCGGAGCCGTCCCCGTCCTGCAGAGTGGAGGGCGCTGCCTCCAGGGGAGGGGCGCTGGGCGGCTCCGTCCCAAAGTCAACCAGCGAGCCCACGGGGACCTCGGGGGCCTCCATGGCCGGGGCGGCTTGCTGAGGACAAGGCTGGTGGAACCCAAGGTGGCCTCCAGGTGTGTCAGCAGGAGCCTGCCACGCACATGCAGGCGGCCTGGGAGCTGCGGGCCACCACGGCAGCCCTCTGAGCAGCTCAGTGGCCTCCGGGCATCTGTGGGGGAAACAGACGGAAACAGACTCAGCACAGGCAGCCGCCCGGGAGATTCGGCCACCACAGGGCTCTCGTTTGCAGAACCTTGAGGCCCCTGCAGCCACGGTCCTTGTCACTGTTAAACAGCTGCTGCACGACAGGCAGGCGGTGGGCACTCGTGAACACCCCGCAGATAAACACCCGCAGTCAGGGCTCCTCCTGCCGGCCGCTCAAGAGCTCCTCTGGGCTTTCAGGGAAAGCACCTTCTGGCCCCTTCCCACCCCGCACAGCAGACCAAGGCCACGGCCAGCCCAGGGAGCCCCACCTGAGCTGGAGCGGGTCACCAGGGAACAGCCTCGTGCTGGGCAGGCACCTGGCCAAGCCCCAGACTCCCCAGGCCTCCTCCTCATCCCTCCCTCCAGCAGAGCCACAGGCCCTCCGCAGGCCCTCTGCAAGCCCTCTGCATGCCCTCCGCAGGCGCTCCGCAGGCCCTCCGCAGGCCCTCTGCACGCCCTCTGCACGCCCTCTGTATGCCCTCCACAGGCCCTCCGCAGGCCCTCTGCAAGCCCTCC